TGGGAACAACGGGCTGAAGCAAAGAGTAAAAATAGAACCGAGTGCAGACACACTCCAAGAGCGAAGCTCAAACCTGCACAAATTGACTGTGTCCGATTGTCAGTTTCAGAAAGTTACAAAAATGTTCGGATGCAGCTAATACCTCCTGTGCTCATTCATGCAGCTCATTTATTAGACTTTGTTAAACAGAAATTTCCACCACACAGGTTTGCTTGCATATCAATGTAAAACAGAATCAACCACGAAGGTATTAGAGAGAGCTGTGTTGTCCATGAGCCAAAGTTGCATAAATACACAAACACAAACATTGTTTGCAGGTTGCACATTTCCCTTTTGGAATTAAGCAATCGAAACCAACCCTTCTCCACAAGTCATTTGTTTAGTATTTTACTGTACATTCAAGGGTTAATGTCCAAGTTTCCATATCACACCACCTGTGATGGCCTCCACTAGAGCGCCTGTTCTCATGGTAATATCTCAAGGTGTTTAAAGCAATAGTGAGTGATGCAGCCTTTGTCTGTGCCGATACACACAGGCGGCTGCTTCGCCCAGTACCAGACCCTTCGAGGGGGTCATGGCAGATCAAAGGTGCTGGTCACAGCCATTAGGCCCGGCAGCCCAGACCCGACATGAAAAGCTTGTGTTTTGAAAAGGAGGGCAGAAGGAAAGAAACAACAGGGCCCTCTTCGTTTAAAAAGCAAGCAAACTGTGAAATAATTGAAAAGGTATGTCAATCAAGGGCAGGAGCACAGCGGGAACTCGAAGATTCCCAGGCTCCGCTCTGGTCGAGCACTGAGCCATGGAGGGCTGCTCAAGGGGGCAACCCAAGAAATTAAAGACCTGAGAAAAGGAATAAAAAAGAAGACGGGGAGGAAAGGAGCAGGGAAAATCTTTCACTCTTTTCTGCTTCAAATTTGTGATGAAAGGAACCATTTTGCCACACTTTTGTAGAGCCCCATTCAAAACGCTTGGTCATTAATAAGATCTTGTCTAGCTCTTCACCTCTCAGGTGAGTAACAAAGACTTATTCGGGGGCAGCAGCCATTGGAAGCGCCTGCCCCCACCACCGAGACCCCCTTCTTATAACCAGCACCTTCACCCTGTACTCGCTCCCTCCTCCTCCCCCATACCATGAGTCTGACAAAAGGGAACCCCGTGAGAGTGTCTCTCTCTTTCCTTTCTGCCTTTTTTTTTTTTTTTTTTCAAAGTCAGAAAAGGCTTGAATGATCTGACGTTGGGCTAACGTCCAAAAATTGGGGGACGGAAAGAGAAGAAAGAGTTAAAAAAAAACTGGGTAAAAGACTTTTTCTATGCTTTTAAAAATCCCATAGAGGAGAAATAAATGGCAAGTCCACAGTTGACTAGACATGTATAGTGCAGGATTTGCTTGTAATGGCAGCTTGAGCTTATTGACAGTCCCAGCCAAAACATGTCAAAGGTTAAGAGATCTTGCCAATTGCAAGTGGGAAGCCAAAAGTACCTTTTTCATGAGCTCAATAGGGCCATCAGTTGATACTTGCTCAGCAGAACGCGGAGCAGGAGTGACCTTCAGTTTCCAATGCAACTCAGGGACAAAGAATGAATTTGTCTCCGTTGTTTCTCTCTCTTCTTTTTAATTGTGATTTTGTTCAAAAGGTTTGAAACTGTTCTTGAATGAAAATTATTCACAGCTTAAAAAATACTTTAATTCTCTCTAAACACTGTTACGGAAGAAAAAATAGAATTTTATTGGAGCAAACTATATATTCCTGCCCGTTTGTGTTAAAAGTTCTTAACAATTTAGACCAGACCACAAGTTATTAACAGGGTTTATTAAAGAGAGGATTATCCCCACACTGCACTTAAAATGTTAGATATATTCATTTGTCCAATCTAAATTTAAGTTGGTTTGCATGGGCCTAAAAAGTCACAATTAATAGTTTTAGGATTTCTTAAGAACCACCAACAATCAAAAATAAATGATAAATGATAAAAGAAAAAATGTAATAGTTTCAGTCAAAAATGAATACTTAGAATTTATTCCGTCATACAGCCTTTCCTTCCAGTAAAGTGACCTTTGGATTTCAGCAGTTAGGAAAACCCTCTAATAGCTTAAAATACCTCACTCTGATTTCTCAGGCTTTCAACACAATGGAGTGACTTTTCAAAGGGGGGACTGTGAGTTATATGGATCTAACTGGTCTTTATAGATGTGTGGTCAAGCGTCCAGAGCCCGAGTGATTCCTCGAGACAATGTGAAATCCCCATTTCATGTGCTCAGATCTTTTGTATCTGCTGGCTGCTACAGCAGCATGCATGAATGAAATGACATGAAGGCTACCTGTGAGACTATAGGAGAGAAAGTATTTAATGTGCTGTAGAGATTTGTTGAAGTGCTTCACAAAATCGCTACAGATATCAGCCAGAGGACCCCTCAAATTTTAAAAATACATTTCTTTAAGACTATTTTCTAGCTTCAACGCTTTTTTTTCCTTCTAATTTGAAACTTTAACTGTTCACTAACAACTCTTTGCAATGTCTCAGATGTGACAAACATCCTTCCAACACACCTACTGTGCCTGGAAACTCAAACCAGCAAATAATGGCTGGCACCACTTACAGGCACCACCGGTTTTTATTGGCCTGGACTAATCCCCCATAAACCCTTGCAGCGCTCCAATCACCAGCCGGGGCCTCGGCTAATTGCTTACGAGTCCCTTGCACGCTCCAGGTGCCACCGTAGCACACCCGGTGTTTGTAAACACAGCTCGTAAAGAGGAGGCTGCCATCAAAGTGTTAACGTTTCCTCGGAGGATCAGAGGCACGGCAGGAATGATAGGGGTGCAGCTGGGCTGGTACCTGGACGGACTCGACGGTGGCATTCCCTCCTTCCCTGCAGCTGTGGCGAGCGGATAGAGGGCTTCATTTACACGGTCCTGTCAGAGAAGAAAGACACTCAAAAGGAGTTTGTGTTTGTTTACCTTCCTCGTGGTTTTCTTCCTTTTTACTCTTTGTACTTCCTTGTGCCTGAAGTAGATGACCTCACTTGGTAAGCACCACTGGGGATGTTCAGAGCAGAGCTAATAAAAAAAGAATAAAAAAACAGTTGGAGATAGTTGCGTGTTTAGAATGATGGGAGCAGCAGATGTATGTTTTTTTAAAGTTTTGGAGCACTTCAGATGTGCTCATTGAGAAAAGTCGGCATAGGCAGGTTTGCATGGATGAATGGGTCAACACACGGGAGACGATGATGTTCACTTCACATTTTCAACCGACAGTCAACTTTGCTATTTTTTTGTAAGCATGACCACAATCGTTCCCAAACCCCAACCAGGTGTTTATTATTGAAACCATGAAAACGAAGCTCTCAGAAGCTTAGCAAAGTGGTCATTTTAGCCCAAACCACAAGCTTTCTGTAACCTTTACCAAGTACTTCTTTTAACCCAAACCATTATCTTTCCCTAAACTTAACTTCACTTAACATTTTGGTGACTAACCAAACTTATACTATAGTGTCGTCACATCATCACACAGAAATATGACAGTTCTGGCAGACACAGACAAATAATGTCATCCTGGTAATCGGGATGTAAGAAAATGTTCTATGGATAAAAAAATATATTTTGTTTAATTTGAAGGACTTGTTCTGTATAAAGAAAGACTTGAAAATGTGAGAACCTACCCTTTAAAGTCTGTTCTAAAACAAATATATAAATCATTATTTCATCCAAAAACATGTTAAGTCGAGCCTTTTAGTTCAGCTTTAATGTTAAAATCTGGATTTGCACAAATATATATAGAAGAAACTGCATTGCAGGAGGAGTATTACCTGCGAAAGCGTTTATTTTTCATTGCTGGACGGGTTTAACCAGCGAGACTGCTCAGGAACTCAGTCACTGCCGTGAACAAGACTTGCGGTTGTACCAAAGCAGCTGGGGTTTGGTCAGTTGGGTGGCCAGACCAGTGGCCCACTGCTGCTTTTATGACTACTTCATTTCCTACCAGCTTTAGGTCACCCTGTCCTTCAACACCTTGATCCGGTACTTTGTTTACAGCATCTTTCCAAAGCCAACAATCCTCTTTTCTACAAATATCCCACAGTGCCTAGTGTTTGAGCAGCAACATTGCATGTTTTCTTTGCACAGACGTGGTTTTCAGGGGTGTAAAAAGAAGATTTTGTGGCCTGATTAGATAGCAGGCCGCATCAGGGCGCTTTTGAAGGTGTAAGTGGGCGATTTAAGCCAGAAAAAAAAAAATATGATCCAAAAGAGAGCTTCATCTCCAGCAATTAGCTGCTATTCAGAACCATGCGGTAAGCCTTCAGGTCATCTCCAAAACATCTCCCTGTCGTAGCCATGACAATTGCTGTGTGCCGTTATTTTTGCATGCGGACAAAAAACAGATCAAGAGGGAGCCACATGGGACTTGTTTGCAATCAGTGCCCAGAGGAAACAATTAGGCCACAAGCTTGCCAGCTTTTTTCGCAGGGTGAAGTGAGTTGGAGAGGCTGCTTAAGTGGCCGGCAGGCGCGGGTTTTGTGTCCCTCAGTAAACAAAACTGGGCATCATCAGGGTGTAGTGTCACATCTGGAGCTAGGAGGAATGGATGCAGGCAGCGAGGCAGAATGACACTGTGCAGGCTCAGACACTGTATGTGTGTGCTACAGAAGTGCATGTTACAAATTTGGTGCATCTCAGGATGTAGTCCGAGACCGGGGTGTACAGATTAAGTTATTGAATTAAGCTTTAATAAACTCCCGCCTTTTCGGATATGATCAAATCTCAATCTTTTCTGCGAGACGCTCCAAACTCAACTGGTCTTCTCACAAAGGGAGCTCTTCCGAGCCATTGTGCATGTCATGTGAATCTGTGTGTTGTTTTCTCTTGTCCTTGGCTCTATCCCGCCAGAGCATATGTCTGTCTGGTATTCTAATCGCTAATGATAGAGTGGCTTTTGATGGGGAAACTCCCAAAAGCTACATGTTTCTAATCCAGACTCTTGTTCCCTCTTTTATTTTCCAGGCCTGATGGAAATCCGATCTGTCAGTGTGGGAGTTGTTGCCATCAAATCTGTCAGCACCGGGCTGTACTTAGCTATGTCCAAGAAAGGCACGCTCTTTGGATCGGTGCGTATACAACCCGACAACATTGTTTCTGCAGGTCAAGATGGGAGGGCTGGGAAAGGGAGGAGGGTGGTGAGGCGTATATGTATAGGGGTCCCAAATGAGTGCCTACCCAAACATGCTGGATTCTGCGGCAGTAAAGGGAATCTTCTGCTGGAAAGTCCAGAGAGAAGGTCAGAGTGCCGCAATCAATCATGGCTGTACACCTGGGCCACGGCTGACGATACCTGCAGCTTGAGTTGGCTTGTTCCACTGTCAAAATAAATAGCAGAGAGAAGACACCAGACCAGCAATGACAAAAAGCCAGCTGGGCTCCTTTAAAAGTCTTCGCGTGCCATCTGCCAATTGATGTTTCACACAGCAAGCTTTCAAAAGTAATCACCTGTCTTTGTTATAACCAGCCGCACATCAGACCTGAGGTGTGTGGTGTCTAGCTCATGTACTTACATCTTGGAAAAGGAGAAATCAGGGACAGGCAATCAGTCACTGATAGCAGTGATAAGAGAAGTGCCGTCAACAAGCGAACACAGTAAATAAGACATAAGCAGATCTGAAGACCCGAGCCTGAAAGCTCCCATAATAACAAAAAAGGCAGGTGAATCACGCCGGGCTCATACTACCCTGATGCTATCACAGACAGGGCCTCATTATGGCCGCACGATTACGATCTGGAAAAGGGAATGCAGCAGAACCTCTTGTCACTACAATATCTTTCAAGACTCAAAAGTGGCTTTGCTGACTGTTGGATTACCTTCACAGATTAATATACCTGAATCGAAAGCTCTTAACTTAATCAGAAAAGAGATGGCGGACTTGATAGAACATAACATTACATTTTGAAAAAGGTTGGTTTTATTCCCAACTTTGTTCATTCTAATTACTTTGAGTACGTTACCTGTTCTGTTCACCCAAATGTTTAAATGTGTGGTATTTTGGGGGTTTGAGCTTTGTTCCTGCAACTGAAACCCTGAAAGGATGGCATTGAAAAATAGCAACATTTCATTCCAGTAACAATGTCCCAGTTACTCAGGATATTTCACAGACCTCCATGTGATCCAGTCAGTGATCAGCTTTCAGTGATCGGTCCAGATGAAAACTTACGTGTGGGGCCTGTAGCTTATTCCAAGTAATCAGAACATTGTTTCTGGAAGAACACGTTGCTTTGAGGTCTTTATTTCTTAATTAAATGAATTGAGCAGCACAAATGAAATTCCACTGACATAAACTGTATTTGGTTTATGGAAAATAAGAGGTGGATATCGTGAAACCCCAATGTGAAGAAAATTATGTTTTTTGGGTGAACCAAGCCTTTAATTGTAGACTAAAAACTTCCATTGTGGCTTCAAAAAGACAAACCAGTGAAATACTTGAAGCAAAAACTATAAATTACACACACCTGGGAAATCCTTTACTGCAACAACAGACATTAACCTTTGTGCACTTCTTGGAAACTGACCTAATCCAGCACAGTAGGAATAGCCTCTTAAACCTCTCCGTCTTCCTCCCTCTGATCACAGGTGAAGTACAACCCAAGCTGCAAGTTCAAGGAGCGCATTGAGGAGAACGGCTACAACACGTACGCCTCCCTCCGATGGAAGCACAGCGGCAGGCAGATGTTTGTTTCGCTGAACGGGCGGGGGAAGCCACGGCGGGGTCACAAGGCTCGACGGAGACACCCGTCCACTCATTTCCTGCCCATGCTCCCTTCCTAGCTGCCCAAGTCTGAACTCTGACCGGCGACCGGCTGACTGGCTCACCTGCCTCCTCACACTAGTGTTGATCCAGCCGTGAAGGCAATCTTTATTTTCATTATTCCATCCTCCTGTCACATAAAAGTACATTTGTTGAGGGCTGTAACAATTGTAGATTTAGTATAATATGTACTTTTTAAGTTATTTTCTCTAATGATGTTCAGTAATACAGTAAATATACAGTAGGATTATACTATATCCAGGCATCTGTCTGGCTGCAGTATCGTCTGTGTGTCTGAACTGCATGTAAAGCTGCGGTGTTGGGGTGATGACTTTAAGAGGCTGTAAGAGGACTGAAAAGGGATAGCAAGGCTATTCTAGATGCTCCGCTAATTAAGAACGGAAGCATGTGATCGACTCTACAATTAAGTTGTCACCATGTATCATACCATGTTAAACACATTTCTCATCTTCATCACATGTTGACCACCATTTAAGCCAATGAGAAATTGAAAAATGATAATAAGATTTCCTGTGCAACACCGTTTCACATATGATACATTCACATATATTGGTACATGGTTTATCACATGTCAAACAGCATTTCACTGAATTAACGTACAGGCATAATGTGGTTTTTGGACATTTTACACGTGAAATGGAAAAGATGAATGTTTCACATGTGATATGTTTATAAGGCTAAATCTGACTACTTTTAGGCCAGTGAAAATGAAAAAAGTTATAACAAAATAGGTATCCATACACCAGAATCAAATTTAAGTGAAGTAAAGTTGTGAGGATTTACATCATTATAATCTCTATACACAGATTACGTATTCATATACAGAAAGCATTGGCCAAAATGGAACCCACCGGCTGTCGTCTGACGATGATCTAGCTTTTTATTAGCTTAAAATACGCTACTTGTGAAACAACACGGTCGTACATGGCGTCTCTTAACTCCAGTCACGCACCTCAAGTTGCTAATCAGAGTGTTAACAAGGAATGGGAAACCAAATAATTAATGAACAATTCGAGTGGGGACTTGGACTCATGCCCTCAGTAGTTCTAAAATCCTGGTTATGGCGCTACTGCAAATCGAACATCCTCACTTGTTGCTTGGGATATACTGTACTGACACTACTGGATAAGAGACACTGATCTGCACCTGAACTGTGCAGACGAGATGAAAATCTCTACTGACTTTAAACACATTGATAAATGAACTGTTCTGTCTGTATATGTCTATGTATGACAAGAACACGAAGCTAACTACTGGGATTACATGCTGGATTTTCTGAGATGACCTGTGTATGTTTGCGCATGCTTCTGTCGGACTGCTTTTCCCGTTCAACAACCCACAGCTAATAGAGTAGGAATCAGTATCAGAAAAGAAAATGCAAAGTCTCATCTAGTCTCCGATTCTTTGTTGTGAAATTAAAAAAATATACGTTTTGAGTCATTTAACGCATTATAGCAGACATAGGTAAAGCAGATGTCACATAGCAGCAACTTCATTAATTGTATACACAGTAGTAAAGGGTTATTACATACTGCCTCTCTCTTAAGTCTTGCTAACATTTTCTCAACAAGGCTGTTGCTAATAGAACATTTAATATATTTAAAACATTTTGTACTCTAACTGTTTGAAGTTGATGTTTATTGTTATTGTCTACTTTTTGTGTTGATTGTAGTCATACTGTTTAAAAAAAAGAAGGGAAAAAAAAAGTAATCAAGTCCATATTCAGCTCATTTTATATGGTATTACTACTGGATATCGGTACACTTGTGATCCACTTATCATAAACAGGCCAGTAATAGTAGGTTGTATATAAGGCCAAAGTCTCAGAACAAACAGTCTTTAGATTCATTTCAGCAAAGTAAAATCATGTGAGTGCCTTGGTCCATGCTGAGTTTGGTAAACTTCAATAAAAAATGTGGATAAATCATGAGTCATGGCTCCCTGCCTTGCGCTACAGTAGAAAGCCGTTTGCAAATCACTTCTCCCAAAATGGCATTTTAATCTTGTCTCAAGCGTGAAGCTGATTGTTAAGCATTGGTAACATCTCCATCAGAGCTCGCAGACATAATCCCCCTCCTCATCATAATCATGACAAAACTCACAGCAGGAGAGGCGTTGATGTGGAGGACCTCCCCGTGTCTGATGAAAGGTCCGCGGTCGTGAACTATGCACCCGAGCATCAAGGTCATTTACACACAGACGAGCCCTCCAGTGGCACAGGAGGCCACTTGGGTCTTTTCAGCCAACAGAAAGGAGAGTCGGGGGATGAATATTGGCTGTTTGGGGTGAATAAAGGCCAACCTTTCAGCTTGTCATAATGTGAGATTACTGTGACAGGGGTACATGTCTGGTCAGGATGGCGTGAAGTCACACTGTAGTTCAGCTCCACAGGTCTGGGTGCAGCACATCAGTATGGGGGGTCTGGCGGTACTGTTGCCATGCAAATGTCTTTGTCCTCAGCTGTGCACCCTTGCGGGTAAAGTAAAGACTACTTGTTCCTTTTGTTGCTGTTGTGTTCTAACTGTAAAATATAGACATGTCATCAGAAAGGAAAGGTTTGGCACATTGGAGTACGTGCTCATTCACTTTCCTGCCCAGCATTAGATGAGATCGATACCACTTTCATGTCTGTACGTTTTAAAATGGAGCTTCCACCAGCAGACAGCTAACTTAGCTTAGCGTAAAGACTGTAAACCAGGGGAAACAGCTGGTCAGTCTCTGTCCAAAGGTACCAAAATCAGCCTACCAACATGTCTTAAGTTCACTAATCAAAACGCATCTAGTTTGTCTTACCTGTACAAATGCCTAAGTATAAAAATGAACAGTTTCCCTGCAACCAGCGAAGACCTTAAACGGCAAATTTTCATGTTTACATTTCGTTTTTCGTACAAGCTAGCAAGCTCGCAGTACTACAATGTTGCATGTATATGATATACAGTATATTTAAGCTGTTTTGCTTTCTATACAGATGTGCAGAATACAGTGCATTTCAGTTTTACAGGTATCTCTGAACATCTGATTGGTATCCAACCCTCAGCAGGCACAGACACACTTAAACATGCACAAAGCGATTCCATTTTCTGCCCGTTCTCTCGATTCACTCGCCTCTTCGTCAGTTTGTCGTCCACCTTTTCTCCTCTACCTCTCCTCTCTCCACTTTTTTTTTAACCGTCCAAAAATCTCTTCTTTCTTCTTGGCCTGAGGGTGTGACTGTTGTGCCAGTTCGAGGGACACCAAATGGGAGCTGTAATTATCATTGCTCCACCACTGTCCTGTCAGCGTGCTCGCCAGCAAAACAAGAGGGATCCTTTGGAAGTCCTGATCAAAAGCTTTGGCCTTTGATCACGAGGCAAAAGGAAAAACCTAAACACTGTGCAAAATCAACGAGGAATGTCCCAAAGAGAGCCCAGGAGAATGGAAATGACAGCCATCCAGAAGACATCCTCAGCTCCTCCTCTGCCATGATGTGTTGATGTCCAGAGCACAGGTGTTTGGGCTGTGTTTGATCTGATCGGTGTAAACAGAAGACCGAGAGAGTGAGTCATGCGATGATGATAATGATGCGTCCGTCAGACAGCACCTGGTAGGCTGCACAGCGCGTCATCTCTTTATGTTTCGGAACAGGCCTCTTACGCAACATGAATTTGGTTGTATTGTCTGCCCACTTAAGACACCGCAAAGCACATCACACCTTCACATCGGGACATGTGAAGGTATATTCTGCATGACCCATTAAAAATGGAAAAGGTTACATTGACTGCTTCAAAAATTAATTCGCAGCTGAGTGACAGAAAAAAAAGTAATCATAGAAGCCCATTTTGAGGGCCTTAGCCAAAATCTACAGGGGCACAAGTCATGCTGCTTCAGCGACAACAAACCACAGCCCCTGGAACCTTTGAAACCCTGTGTGGTCATTTTCTCTCACAGTGACTGAAAAGAACTGTGGTGGGTGGGAAAGAAAAAAAAGAGCCCCTCGCCACTCATAATACCAATCTTATGTATGTAGACGAAAATGGGAGGGATGGGAGGGGTTGGGGGGTGGCAGACGGACTAAGGCACAATTTTAAAGCGCTTATTGAATTGCCATTACAGCTCCTGAGACTAATTGTGGCTGTTGTGTGTCTCTCGGTGGCCTAGGGGGCTCTGGAGTGGCCCTGTATGCTCTTACTCAGTGGGGTTTTCAGACCGAGTGGCCCTGAAAGAGAACAGGACCACCGTAGATCAATGGCAAACCTTTCACTCTTTCACAGGCCCTCGCTAATCCTTCTCATTTGTCTGCCATTTGTTGAGGCACATTCACAGCTCCCTGAATTTAGGATTAGGCCTTGTTTTGTTACAAAAACAGCCCAAGTTATAATGCTGAATAGATGGACTAAAGGGTGGACGACGGATGAGTGTGTATGCGAGTTTGTGAGCATGTGTGTGTGTGTGTGTGTGGTTATCAGGTATACACTACATACATGTATGTTTGACCAAATTCATGAGAGAGCAGAACCTGTTCCGTTTTTTCTCTTAAATCCCATTTCATGTCATAAGTGGTGCAAAAATTATAGTTTGTAGGGTGGGAGAAAAAAAGATTTGTGTCTTGAAATTGTGTAAAATCAATCATGGGGGTGGGGAGTGGGGAAGGAGACTATGGTTGATAAAAAAAAAAAGACTCTGTTATGACTTGGTCGAGGTACACAGTGTAACTTGTCTAGGTGAAAGTTCAGAGGAGGAAGAGGACATCTTCGAAGAGGGGGGGGGGGGACTTAGGGTAGAATGGAGGTATAAAATAATATACAGTGCTATTGTGAAGTTAGTTGACTCCGGACAGCTCGGTTTACTTGTATACTTTGTAATGCAAATTAATCTGCGTGAAGTGAAGAAAATCCAGTCTCTCTTGTGGGTGTCTCATCACGAGTCAGATAGATAACAGTTACTGAGCCAGCCGTTAGGTAAACTCAAAGAAGCGGCTCATCAATGGGGGAAAAAAAACCACAACATTTTCCTTTGTGGAGGTTTTCTTGTAGCTTTAATGTTCACACAGCAACAACGATCTTAACATTTACAGAAACCTTTTCAACACTGTATATGTAAAACATATCATGGTGTGATCATTTTGTCTTTATGTGGGACTAGAGGTGGCATTCTGAATTTAAAATGTACAACATTCTGGACACGAGTGGGTGTATCATTAGCTTGTGTTTAGACTGAACATGGGGGGAATTTTAGAGGAGGCCCGATTGCATGCAAGGTCGATAAAAAGGTGCGAAATTGGCCAGAAATTATGTTTGAATATTCTGTTTCTATTTCTTTCTATCGCTTGCTTTGAAAGACTGCAATGGACGAGCTCTAGGTATCTATGCGATAACTCCTCATTTCACAACAAAAACTTTAATAAGGTGACAGCTGGCTAGAGATTGCCAGGAGATCCTGAAAGGTTCCTACTTGCTGTTGGCTTTATTATATGTAATTTCCAGTATCACTATATTAGCACCACCACGAGACAAAGCACAAATCCTTTAAGCAAACGTACCCACTCACATCCTAAATGAAGGAACAGAAAATAAACAATCTAAGAGCCCAATATGATCAGAATCCTAATATTATAGTTAAATGACTAACAACGATGTTAACGGAGAGCAAAATATGGCTGAGTGCTTTCAATAACCACAGATGAAGTCCCTGCACACATTTCATTTTTTAGAAGATGAGAATATAATATTGCGGCTTTTTTGGTTGACATCACTTCACACCTGAATGAACTGAATTTGAAGGACAAGTCAGTTAAATAAATCTTTCTAAAATGAAATACTTTATTTCAAGATAAACATTTTTAAAAGCATTTATTTATCATTAGAGTATCTATTATTTATTATTAATTCAGTTCTATTTGAAAATTGACAATAAATATTTTTTCTTTATTTGATTTGACAGTCAGTTGTTGACTACATACATACGTTGATATAACTGCTCGGCTACTTCAATAAATATGGGACTCAATCACATCGCAAGTTGAGGAAATTCCCTCTAACTGGACCTCGTTGAATTTTAATTGAATACCCCTGGTCTATGGGTTACACTTGTTGTCTATTTGATTCTCCACAGGTCATTTTGTTCGTCCGCCCTCTGGCATTTCGGAGGACAATGCAACGAACAGCGAAGTATAAACTTCTCCATGCATGCTGGGAGCTTGCACGCACTCTGCCAAGCGCGAGTACAAACAAAGTTTTGGAGTTCATCGGCTGTTTGAGGTGAATAAACATGGACTGCCTTAATGAACCAGTGGTCAAATATGCGCAAATGACATGTTTGTTACACAAATGTATACATTTAAAGGGAATTGAACAAAATAGGGTATAATAAGTTCAGGCTAAAGCCTACACCTTTTCGGCCAGCATGAACTTGTTTTGGTTTATCACTACTTCAGAAGCAATGACTAAACTAAACTAACTCTTAGAACTTCCTTTTTCCAGAGGTATCAAATATGTAATGCTATAGATGGAAACATTTCCATACAGCTATGCAAACACGACTCCTACATGATGTAATGGCACAAATTGATTGAAACATTTTGTTAATAACTTTGGAACTACTTTAGAGGTAATGAACGGAAATATCAACGTTAACGAGGTTAAAGTTTTCCACTCAGCTGTGATATC